CAATGTTTCTTTTCTTTGAGCACTCTGTCCCTGAATGCAAACATCAATATATGTGCATATGTCCTCAAGTATTAAGAGAATAGGAATGAAAAAAATGCTGTTATCTTAAGCACATCCATGAAATTTAGCTTTCTCTGAGAGCGAGCTAGTAAGCGAGTGAGACAGACAGACTGAGACAGAGAAAAATATAGAAAGGGAGAGAGAGAAAGAAATACAGAGATATAGAGAGGGGAAAAAGAATTTCATGAGTATGAAGAAACTGGTGTTTCAACACTTGTCCAGCTATCCAGTGATCGAAAAATGTTCCCTCTCAGTTTGTTCATGTATAAAAATAAGGTGATGGTTGGGGCGCCTGGGTGGCTCAGTCATTAAGCATCTGCCTTCAGCTCAGGTCATGATCTCAGGGTCCTGGGATCGAGCCCCGCATCGGGCTCCCTGCTCTGCAGGAAGCCTGCTTCTCCCTCTCCCACTCCCCCTGCTTGTGTTCCCTCTCTGTCACATAAATAAATAAAATCTTAAAAAAAAAAAAAAGGTGATGGTATTAGAAGAATCTTTAAGATCCTTTCCAATTCAAAAGTTCTGAAGTTTTATACTGATTTCACATTTTAAGTAAACTTAAGCACACAGAACTTTCCATAAGCTCTTTTTTCCTTTAAATTAATTTTTAGGGGCACCTGGGTGGCCCAGTTGGTTAAGCATCTGCCTTTGGCTCAGGTCATGATTTTAGGGTCCTGGGATGGAGCCCCACATCATCCAGACTCCCTGCTCAGCGGGGAGTTTGCTTCTGCCTCTCCATCTGCCACACCCCTGCTTGTGCAGTCTCTCTCTCTTGCTCTCTCTCTCAAGTAAATAAAAAATTTTTAAAAATAAGTAAATTGATTTTTAAACTTTATCAGTAAAAATACAAAAACAAAAATCTAAACACAAGAATCTCTATGTATACAATTTGTAATTTCATCCATACTATATGCAATATAAAATGTGCTTTCCTGTACCTCTGAAACAAATAATACAGTATATGTTAAAAAAAAAAAAGAATACGGCAGGAAGGGAAAAATGAAGGGGGGTAATTGGAGAGGGAGACGAACATGAGACTATGGACTCTGAGAAACAAACTGAGGGTTCTAGAGGGGAGGGGGTGGAGGGATGGGTTAGCCTGGTGATGGGTATTAAAGAGGGCACGTACTGCATGGAGCACTGGGTGTTATATGCAAACAATGAATCATGGAACAGTACAACAAAAACTAATGATGTAATGTATGGTGATTAACATAATAAAAAAAAAGATTTTAGTCCCTAATACCTGAGCTTATAAAAAAAAATTAAAAAAAAATGCTTTTCAATTCCTTCTGTGAACTTCTTTATAATAGGTATATAATCCAACTTCAAAGTATAATTACTCCTCTTGATATCTTTAAAAAATAGTAAAATATAGATAAATCCTGTCTTTAGGACCCTCATGTGTCACATATCTTTATTTAAAGGACTTCGGGGATACTTTCATAACTAAATCCTCTAGATAAAGTCTAGAATGTTTTATAGCAAATACTGTTTTCAAGAACCAAAAAGGGTGGGACGCCTGAGTGGCTCAGATGATTAAGTATCTGCCTTCAGCTCAGGTCATGATCCCAGGGTCCTGGGACTGAGTCCCACCCACATCAGGGTCCTTGCTCAGTGTGGAGCCTGCTTCTCCCTCTGCCTGCCACTCCCCTACTTGTGAACGCTTGTGTGCGTTCTCTCTCTCTCTCATTCTCTCTCTGACAAATAAATAAATACAATTAAAAAAAAAAAAAAAAGAAGAAGAACCAAAAAGGGTACAAATTATAGGATATAGTTATCCTATAGTAACATGCTCCAGAACAATCCACAGGGTTCAAATAAGTCACAGTCAATATCAAAAATATCAACAGAATTAAGTTATTTAAAAAGTACCGAGCACCTGGATGGCTCAGTTGGTTGGGCGGCTGCCTCCGGCTCAGGTCATGATCCTGGAGTCCTGGGATCGGGTCCCGCATCGGGCTCCCTGCTCGGCGGGGAGTCTGCTTCTCCCTCTGACCCTCCCCCCTCTCATGTGCTCTCTCTCATTCTCTCTCAGATAAATAAATAAAATCTTTATTAAAAAAAAAGTACCAAGAGGGGCGCCTGGATGGCTCAGTGGATTAAACTCCAACTCTCGGTTTTGGTTCAGGTCATGATCTCAGGGTTGTGAGATGGAGCCCTGTGGCGGGCTGAGCATGGAGTCTGCTTGAGATCCTCTCCCTCTGCCCCCTCCGCCCTCCTTGCATGACGTGTGCGCGTGTTCTCTCTCAAATAAATAAAATCTTTACAGATTTTTTTAATTTTTTAATTTTTTTTTTAAGATTTTATTTATTTTTTGACAGAGAAAGACACAGCGAGAGAGGGAACACAAGCAGAGGGAGTGGGAGAGGGAGAACAGGCTTCCCGCAGAACAGGGAGCCTGATGTGGGGCTGGATCCCAGGATCCTGGGATCATGACGTGAGCCGAAGGCAGACGCTTAACAACTGAGCCACCCAGGTGCCCCAAAATCTTTATAAAGATTTTTTAAAAATTTATTTGACACACAGAGAGAGAGAAAAAGAGGCAGACAGAGGGAGAGGGAGAAGCAGGCTCCCCACTGAGCAGAGAGCCTGACATGGGGCTCGATTCCAGGGCCCTGGGATCATGACCTGAGCCCAAGGCAGACGTTTAACCAACTGAGCTAGCCAGGGGCCCCTTAAATAAAATCTTAAAAAAAAAATTCTCTCTCTCCTTTTCCCTCTGCCCCTCCCTTCCCTCTCTAAAAACATAAATAAAATTAAAATAAAAAAATAAAAAGTACCAAGAACATTAAAAGATTATAACCTCAGAACAGGGGTTATAAGTTAAATACAAATTATTCAGTATTTTTTTTTAGCATAAAAGGAAAAAACATTATGTTGGACCCTGTGAAATGAATAAAATATACAGATTTTTTTCAATTACAGGATTTCATTTTTAAACTCTTACAAGTACTGGGGTGCTCAGGTGACTCAGTCAGTTAAATACCCAACTCTTAATCTCGGCTCAGGTCACGATCTCAGGGTTGTGAGATCAAGCAGCGCATGGGGCTCTGCAGTGGGCATGGAGCCTGCGTTAAGATTCTCTCTCCCTCTCCCTTTGCCCTTTTCCTTCCCTATCAATCAATCACTCTCTTACAAGTACTAATTAGGAAAATTGCAGACAATATATGCACTATCTTTAGAAGATTCCAAATCCAAATCTTGTGAAACCTCTTCTATATTATTCTCTCAGCTAGTTTAAAAGTCCTATAGAGTACAGTGTATATTTTATCTGCCAACACTGCAATTATTAAAGCTGATTTGGGGAATATTACAAAGAAAACAATATAAGGAACTAAACAGAATGGTATGTATTAAAGAGGAAAATAATGTCAGATATTGTTAAAATACATCTTTAGTAAAGAGTAAATGATACCTGGTCAACAAATCAAATTTATTCCTGAGAAAAGCAGATTCAACATTTATTCTTTAATCTCATTTAGTTAAAATATACATTTATTAATACTATCCAACTTTTTTTTTTTTAAAGATTTTATTTATTTATTTGAGAGAGAGAGAATGAGAGATAGAGAGCACAGGAGGGAAGAGGGTCAGAGGGAGAAGCAGACTCCCTGCTGAGCAGGGAGCCCGATGCAGGACTCGATCCCGGGACTCCAGGATCATGACCTGAGCTGAAGGCAGTTGCTTAACCAACTGAGCCACCCAGGCGCCCCTAATACTATCCAACTTTTAATTACCACTTCAACTGGGGAAGTTAAAGGGAAAAGAAAAAATTAGATGTTCACATAATCCATAAATCTCATCTGGGTCTAGAGTTTAAATTATTATTGATCAATTTTTTTCAGTTCTCTATTATTGTGCATTTAGATCCTAGTGATCAGGATGACGCATGTTATATTCATCCCTGAACACATGATTTTTTCCCCCCCAATTAACACATAAATCCAATCACAGTGTCTTCTGATCACTTGGTGTTGTTTTGTTGTTGTTGTTGTTGTTTTTGGAGGGGAAGGCTAGCTTCTTTTATTACCTATTTATGGGAAAGATGTTTTATTCTTCATATTATATGCAAGGTTGAAAGCCGTGTGTGTGTGTGTATAAACTGATCAATTTTTTAAGCCAGATAATCTAAGGAGGTAGAAATTAATGAATTTCTTTCTTTTTCCACTTTTCTAGTCAACTTATTTAAATTACCATCAGAAATAATATGACTTGGGGGAGAAAAAGGGTGAACGAATTGATCCACAAAGTGGATGATCACTTTCTCAATAATGAAGAGTTAACTTTAACAAAGCAAGAGCTTATCAACATATATCAACTTCCTCCAGATACAAGTTGCTAAATTTTAAGCCCTCTTGAACAATTATTATCTATAATCTGCCTATAGATTATTTTCTAATTTTATAATGGATTTGTTTGATCATCCCCTTCATAGTTACAAGCAGGAGCCCCTAAACAAACAAAGAATGGAGAGATATCCTGCACCCTCTACACTCACTCTCCATCAGTTGTGATTAACGCAACAATTCTGCAACTATTCTCAGGCGTTAATTGTACTATACAAGCCCTAATAAAGCAGGGACATCCCAGGCCTCCCTCTGAGGATTTAAGGATCATAATTTCTGTCTCAGGACTACAGACGAAGGTTCTATTTTTGTACTATCACTCTTTATTCTGTCATGGTAATTTTTAAAGTTTCACATGAATTTTATTTCTATAAAAATATGTAATTAAATTGTTTTGGAGCCAAAAGCAAAACCAAACTTCCAATAAATACATACTAAATGGTCAAAATGTACTTTATGGCCTTTAAATATTAAACATACTACACTTTATGTCCCTATACCAAAGTTTATAGCAACTTATCCCTTAGCACCACACACGCTACTCATTACGCACAGTAATAACAGCACTGTAACTTGTAGAGGAAAAGCACTCACACTGTGCTGGCTCTCAATCTCTTCATGTTTCTGCTGTAGGGCCTGGGAGGCCCGGATGGAGTCTCCAATCCCCCACTGGGCTCGTAGCTGTTCTGATCCAGGCCCTTCAAGCCAGTTCACAACCTATAGATGAAAGTTGAGACCAAAATCTTAAAATAATCAAAAGCTCTTCAAACATTCACTGTTTTCTCCTCCCAAAGTTCCTCAAATATATTTTTTAGTTTTTAATTTTTATTTTTATTTACTTGACAGAGAGAGAGCACAAGCAGGGGAAGCAGCAAGCAGAGGGAGAAGCAGGCTCCCTGCTGAGCAGGGAGCCCAATGATATGGGGCCTGACGATGGGGCTCGATCTCAGGACCCCAGAACATGACCTGAGTTGAAGGCAGACGCTTAACCGACTGAGCCACCCAGGCGCCCCAGTTCCTCAAGTATTTTTAATTTAAATTCTTTAAATTCTATTGTAAAGGCAATAAATGTTTCTTTTCGAACTACATGGCTATAATCTGACAACTTTTCCAAAAGCAAAATTTGAAAGAATGTACACTGTAGCACCTTAAGCTTTCAGCTATCTGATCATCTGTCAGGGTAAAAGAAATCTGGAATGCTCCCATAAAAGAGGATTAAAAATTAACTTATGATGATAAGAAAATAAGAGAACTACAGGATTTCGCGTTGGAAGGGACATCAGAAATGACATTGGTCAAATTTATCTAACACTTAAGAAAATTGAATTTCAGAGATTAACTGACTTGCCCAAGGTAATATAATCCAGTATTAAAAACCTAGGACTAAAAGCCATGTGTCTGGACTCATAGTCAAATGTTCTTCTCAAAGTACTGATAAAACTAAACAAATTAAGTAATTAACTATTACGAATGCTACTTTTGTCACTTTAAAAATGACAAACTAACTGTAGAATTATACTACTGCAACACTCTCTAGGGGTCTTAGGATGAACTAAAACATGACCCACAGACCATCTGAGAGGTCTCACTGGCACCACTCAGTAGGGTGTAAGGTGAGGAACTATGGTTTGCCAGAGCAGCATCGGGCATTTTTCTTCTGCCAGGTCTTTGAAGCAGTCTAATAGTTCAGGCATAAGGTGATGAGATCCATATGGGACAGATCTGCGGGAATTAGAATTAGGAATTCAACAGCAGATGTATGGTTATGCCCTAAATGTAAACTTAGGAAAGCTCCTAAGAAGTGAATGAGGGTGTGTCCATAGCATAATACTACGACCCTGTGGATAGACAGGCTTAGCTCAGAACTTTATAACAAAGTATTACAGCCCCATGCTGAATTTCCGTTACTATCAGGTTAAAATATATTCCTCTAAAAATCTAATAGTTGGGGTGCCTGGGTGGATCAGTCGTTAAGCTTCTGCCTTCGGCTCAGGTCATGATCCCGGGGTCCTGGGATTGAGCCCCACATCGGGCCCCCCGCTCCGCGGGAAGCCTGCTTCTCCCTCTCCCACTCCCCCTGCTTTTTGTGTTCCCTCTCTCGCTGTGTCTTTCTCTGTCAAATAAATAAAATCTTTAAAATAAATAAATAAATAAAAATCTAATAGTTCACAAAATTTTTAATAGTTATATAAAAGTACCACACCATGGGGAAAAATCATGTGTATTTCTTTCAATTATTTTTTCACATGCATTGCACTTTCATGTTACTCCAGATTTAAGTGCTCCAGCCAATTCTTATGAGTACAAGCAATTTCTATCCTGTGTTTTTCACTTAACATTACACTATAAAACTATAATGATTTTCTATGTGGCTACAGTTACAATTTACAATAGTTGCAAACCTCTTTTTTAAGAAAGCTGACCCTGCCTGCCTTCCTCCTGCCCTCCTGTCTAACCAACTAATCAACCAACCTATATACATATACATATTCATAAATATACATGTACTTTTGTATATATACAATAGCTACTATATATATGTACAATATATATATACACACACGCACATATATACAAATATACACACACACCATAAATGTAAACTTAGGATATATATAGAGACAGAAGTTCCTATGAAGTATTTTTTTTCTCTAATTCTGTATTGTTTTCCTAGGAAAGATATTCAGTAGAGATCTTGAATTCAATGACAATGTAATGTTAGTATACATTATAAAATTGTTCCCTAAAACACCTTTTTCTATATGAACATCCGAGTAATGAAAGTTTTAACTGAGAATAACCTCTGTTTAGTATACAAACTGACTATTGCTTTTAAAAAACTTCCTCCAAATTGAAAAACAGAAATCTCTCCAGGTATATTTTTAAATATTAGCAGATCAAATATATTGCAAATGTTTGCTTACTAAAATCTCTTCATGTTCTTTGCCCACTTATTTTCTACTTTCTTAACTATTAATATATTCTCAGCTTCCACTTTCTCTTTACAAGGTTTTAATAATAGAGTGCAAAATCTTAAAAACAAAAAAATGTCAAAGTATTATTTTGGATTCACTGGAATAGACTTAAGTGCTTTAATGTTCTTGGCTAAACTGTTTTCACAGTCCGAAGTTCATCTGCAACCCCTTGTTGTCAAGTGCTCTTTGGAATACAAGGGTTGGCTCCTCAACATCCCTACTCTTCCCCTATAATCTTTTGTATTAGCTATCTTTGGAGGGGCAGAGTAGTAGAATCCTGTTTCTGTTAGTCTGTGGAAAGTATCACTCTTTCACAATCATGAGAAAGCACTGGGCATGAGTCCCAATTCTAAATTCTGGTTCTGCTCCTACCAGTTCAAAGACTTTGGTCTGTCCATCTTTAAAATGGTGTCAATGCTACCTACCATACAAAGGTGCTGTGAGGATTATACCGGTCATTATATGTAAGACACTTAGCACAGTAGATAAATATTAGTATTTGTTAGCCTCTTTGCTTTTCCTACTTTTCTGAAGAAAAAAGTATAGCTCCTTCTGTCTATTCACTCTATTAAGTTTTTCATTTTAATTCCAGTATAGTTAATGTGCAGTGTTATATTAGTTTCAAGTGTACAATATAGTGATTCAACAATTCTATACATTATTCACTGCTCATCATGGTAAGTGTACCCCTTAATTCCCACCACCTTTTTCACCCCCCCACCCCCCTCTGATAACCATCAGTTTTGTTCTCTACAGTTAAAAGTCTGTTTCTTGACTTGCTTTTTTCTCCTTTGCTCATTTGTTTTGTTTCTTAAATTCCACATACCAGTGAAATCATATGGTATTTGTCTTTCTCTGACTGACTTATTTCGCTTAGCATTATACTCTCTAGCTCCATCCATGTCATTGCAAATGGCAAGAGTTCATTCTTTTTGATGGATGAGTATTATATTGTGTATATCTATACACCACACTTTTACACATTCATCAGTTGATGTACATTTGGGCTCTTCCCATAATTTGGCTATTGTAAATAAAGCTGTAATCAACATAGGTGTGTATATATCGCTCTGAATTAGCATTTGCATATTCTTTGGATAAATACCCAGGAGTCTGATTGTTGGACCATAGAGGTTCCTGATCTTAGGGTAAAAGCACACATACTTGAGTAAGATGTTGGTTGTGGGTTTTTAGTATGTGGTCTTCATTATGTTAAGGTATATTCCCTCTAGACCTACTTTGTTGAGGATTTTTATCATGAATGGATGTTATACTTTGTCAAATGCTTTTTCTGCATCTACTGAAATGACCATTTGGTTTTTATCCTTTCTCTTACTGATGTGTGTCCATTCACTCTTCATAAAGTTTGTCTCACATCTGCATTTTACAGTAAGATCCCTGGGTTTCTTAAGGAAGTCCCTGAACTGTTTTAACATTTTTTTAAAATGGAAATAAAAAGTGAGGGCTCCTGGGTGGCTCCGTCAGTTAAGCATCTGCCTTTGGCTCAGGTTGTGATCTCGGGGTCCTGGAATTGAGTCCCTTGTCGCTCAGTGGGGAATCTCCTTCTCCCTCTCCCTCTGCCCCACCTTGGCTCATACTTTCTCTGTCTCTCAAATAAATAAAATCTTTGGGGGAAAAAATGGAAATAAAAAGTATAAGTTTTAAGGAAGCTTATGTAAATATTTTGAAATCATTTTCCATTTCCTTTATGGAACTCAAGTCTCATTTATTGCTATTTATTATGAATACAGCTATAAAGACAAATATACAATGGCTTTTTAGTATTTTATTTCTTTTAAAGATTTACTGATTTACATACTTGAGAGACAGAGCACAACAGTGTGCAGGGGAGGAGCAGAGGGTGAGGGAGAGAAAGTCTTAAGCAGACTCTGGCTTAACATGGAGTCCGACATCTCACAACCCTGAGGTCACAACCTGAGCAGAAACCAAGAGTCAGACACTTAACGGACTGCACCACCAGGCGCACCAGCTTTTAAGTATTTTAAATAATATAATTATTTCACTAGAAATATCTAAATTCTAAAACTAAGGATGGAATAAAAGCATCTCAAAAGTTCTTAACTAATTAATATCATATTATGTTGTATTTTATTTTTTAAAACCTAAAATATTATTTAAACATTTAAGCTTTGACTTCAGAATATTCTACAAACAAAAGAAGCAGGTTAATATAAATCATGATACCTGGGGAAAAAAAACTCATTAGCATAGAACTTTCAAAGAGCCATAAATTTAAAAAATAAATTTTCAATAAAGCAAAGACATACTCTTGGTGCAAAAAACCAGTTTCATAGTCAAGTACACATATAGTTTTAATGTATGCTGAAAGTAATTTTTCTTAGTGTGCAACATCAGTAATGTAGACACAGTAAATGTATGACTATTTCTAATAAAAATGATGCAATTTGAGGCTGACGCCCCAGTAAACAAGTCTATTTAAATGCATTAATGATGGTAGTTTGCCAAACTAGTTATAAAACTTAATTTTAATCAGGACATCTTGCTCAGTAAATGTGAATATTAACTTACTGCAAAAGCAGTTTCGTGCCCAATCCATATCAATGTGACCCCTCAAATGGCTACATTTATATGCAAAGTATAATCTTGGAAATGTGCTCTTAAAATCTACCATGACAAATATCTGCAGAGGCCAAAAATGCATGTGACTATACAACATTGTTTCCTAGCCAGGCTGATTCCTAAAGACTTCATGAGAGAATA